CTCAATCGATTTCAAGGCAGGTAAAGGTCCTTCCCCATCAAGAGAATGAAATTACTAGAAAGAGAAAAAAGGAAGAAAAATAAAGCATCGGCAAAGGAGTCCCAGAAACACGTAGTCATTATCAGCACTGCACGTGGGCGTAACCAGAGTTACACTGGCTGCCTACTTTTACTGAGCCAGGCTATCTGATCAAACATATCATACATAGACTAAAACGCAAAAAAATCAGCAAAATCAAAAAATAGGGAGCGAGGGGCAACTGCACCTTCATGCACCAAGTCTGAACTTCAAATAAAGGGAAAGCAACCTCTGTAATGGCTTTTTATACCCTCCGGTAATACCATGCACGAGGAGGCAATGCCATCTATCGGCAAAAATAATAAAGAAATTGCTCCACGCTCCCTATTTTTTGACTTGGCTGATTTCTTTGCATTTTAGTCTCTGTGTTACATGTTTGATCAGATAGCCTGGCTCAGTAAAAGTAGGCGGACAGTGTAACTCTGATTCAAAATCCAGTTACGACCACGTATTTCTGAGACTCCTTTGCCGATGCTTTATTTTTCTTCCTTTTTCCCCTTTTTAGTAATTTCGTTCTCCTGATGAGGACGGACCTTTAGCTGCCCTCGAAATTGATTCAGTGTTTTAATATATGTACGCTAAATACAAGTTTGTTATTGCGATTTTGATTGTCACATTGGCATGTTTCTTGTCTATTCTAATTTAGAAGAGTTTTAACATAAAAATATATGGACCTATTTTAATACAGTTCAATTCAATCAATACAAATAATAAAAAAGTTATATAAACCATTAGGCCGGAGGTGGAGAATCTTTAAGCTTCTCATATATATACATGGGAAAAGAGGGGAATAATCCCAAATACCACTTCATAAGCCCATATCATGAATATAAACAAAATAAATGCTACAGATCACTCACTACTACAATGATTTTCATATACAGTCAAAAGTCTTTAATCCGGACTCGTCGGGACTGCGGCGATTCCAGATTATCGATTTTTCCGGATTATACATCATCGGTTTAAATCTGGTAAGATGGCACGTAGAAATTATAAAATTAAAAATATGAAACTATATTTATGAAATAAAGAGCAATTATGATCTAAAGGGTATCAAAATTTACAAAAAAAAAAAAAAAAAAAAAAAAAAAAAAAAAAAAAAAAAAAAAAAAGCTTAATATTTATTTGTTTACTTTATTAAACATTTCTTTCAACATGCGCATGCGTAAAGCATACATTACGCATAGTCGAAATTAGAAAATTGCAACCAGAAAACTATTTGATGGGTCCTCGTGATATTTATAATGACGAGGAATTTGATTTAAATCATATCAAAGACGGAATAGATCGAGATAAAATACTACATTTAGTAAGGAATTATAAGCTGAATAAAATAAAAACATCTGCTCTGAAGATAAGGATAGTGCTGACAGATCAACTTTCAGTTCATTGTGCGCCGCGACGTCCCCCCACCCGCAGAGCAGCGTGAAATTGATAAACAGATTTCGGAATGGTTAGAGAAACAAAGGATATGCCTTTATCCATTTTTTGCAGCAATTCCACTTTTTGTTTGATGGACATTGAAACATACTTTCGCTTTGTAGATAGATCCTTTGGCAGCTTCAGCATCGGAGATTCTATTTGACATAATCGAAAGTTCAAACTTACTTTTATAAAATTGCTCTAACAGTCTGCAAAAAATAATAAGCCGGATCCAATTCGAAGATTCAGGAACAATGCAATCTGCAACATTAACTGAAATAGATAATTAGATAATTTTAGCTTAGCTTATACTGTCCGTTATACATTAAACGCGCATGCGTAAACGGCTATGCACATTCGTGAACGCATTATGCATTGACGCATGCGCAGAAAGTTTGTAGCTTTGAGGTCCGGATTATAGATCATTCCAGATTATGGGTGTCCGGATTAACGACTTTTGACTGTATATATATATAGATATACGTTGTAGGTCTCAAAAGTTCCCGGACTGAGTTTATAACATAAAAATTTTTTGCAGTAGTGCGACTATGAGAACATTTTTGTGTTACTACTTTCTGCCCCTTTTCTAAAAGTGGTTTGTCCCAAATCATGTGGTCGAAACCTCATGGCAACAGCGTTTTTTGTAAGCAGGTGCATTTAGTAACCAGCGAAAGAAAGAAGTGGGTCAGTTGAGCAGAGAATCAATATCAAATTTTGTGTTCGCCCAGGAAAGAGTGCTACGGAGACTTTTGAAATGTTGAAGCTTGTGCACAGCAGTGAAATGTTACCAAGAATGCAAGCTTTTAAGTGGCATCGTTTAAGAGAAGGCACGGAAATTGCCGAAGACGACGAATGCTGTGGCTAACCCGTGACTTTGTGCACCGATGAAAACATAAAAAAGGTGTCTGTGGCGGTATGTGTGAACAGGAAGCAAACAATTTGTCAAATAGCAGAATCAGTTGGGATATCAGAGGCCACATGTCAGCGGATACTGACTACGGATCTTAACATGCATGCATATATCAACATTGTTCCCCGCATGTTACACGTAGACAAAAATGGAATTCGAATGGAAATGGCGGGAGACTTAATCTTGGCTGTTGAGAAAGATCATTCTGTACTTGGCAGAATTGTTACTGGAGACGAGAAATAGTCTTTTTTGTATGCCCCGCGAACCAATAGAGCAGCGGCAACGTGGAAATCACCACAATCTCCACAGAAGCAGAAATTCTGCCAAGATCACTCTAAATAAAATGTCATGCTAGAGGTATTCTTCTATATCCAGGGGCATTGTGCATCTGAAATTCATCCCCAAAGGATGCACTGTGAACAAAGAAATCTACGTCGAAATCTTGCGTCATTTACGTAAGTTAATCTGGCAGAAGAGACCAAAATGTGGGCTAAGCAGTCATGGGTGCTGTTGCATGACAACGCTTCTGCTCACCAATTCCTACTCAGCAATCACTTTCTTGCAAAAATGAAAACAGCTGTTTTGCCTCATCCTCCTTACTCACCTGATCTCCCACCCTGCGATTTCTTCCTGTTTTCTGAACTGGCAAGACGCTTGCAGGGTCATCGATTTCAATCTTCAGATGAAGTTATATGTGCATTGCAGGCTGAATTAAAGGACATGGCCAAAAATGGATTCCAGACATGCTTCGAGGAACTTTACAGGCGCTAGCATAAGTGTGTTGTTGCACAAGGGTCTTATTTCGAAGGAGGATGTGTTTCTGCAATTTAATTCATAATATTTTTTACATTATAGACTCAGTCCGGGAACTTTTGCATCCTACCTCTGTGTGTGTATATATATATAATTTTTCATTGTACACTGCGCAAAAAAAAGAGGAGGGACAGTTCTGTATCTCTGAGAAGTTCTGATCTTCTGTTCTACTGAGCCCCCAACTAACAAAATTCAGATTGCATTTTTCATGTCTTGAAAGCATGACTTAAGATATATATTAGTTTTTAATATAGGTATTTTGACACAAAATCGGTCTTTTTCTGAAATGACATGCCAATTTTTCCCCATATTTCGATTCTACTATTCAAATTATGCCTAAATATTAAATTTTGTAAAATTTGGTGCAAAATTTAGGAAGAAATTCAAAAATGCATCTTGGCACATTGTTTTCAGTTTGTGCCAAGAATAATTCACTTGCCGAACTTCTTAATATATGGCCTACCTTTTTACAATGTGTACAAATGGAAAAAGAGTCACGCGTTCCTACTTTCATATAATTTTTAACAAAATGCCTAAACCACATTTGATGTTATTATCATTTTCAATCAATATGCCAAATTTCAAAATGTGGTAATATATAAATTCATGTATATCTTCGGAAATTTTGAACAAAAAAATTTTTTTTGCAGGTATGCTTAGAAACAACTTAAAGATGATGGTAAAAATTTTATAGATTTTAATTCAAAATGTTTTTCAAAACATTTCTAAAAATACTTATTTTAAAAATAAATCATAAAAAAATGGGCAAATTGTATTTGGAATGAACTTAAATTTTGAAATATGAAAGAAAGAAACAACTAAGTTTAATTTTAAAAAAAGAGATATTAATAAATATATACTAAATTCAATTAACACTGAAGAGCTAAAATTGAGAGCTAATTTTTAAAAACTACTCATGCAATTTTTACAAAACTTGGCAGTTTGGCATAATTTGAGTCGTAGAATCGAAATATGGAAAACAATTGGCGGTGTCATTTTAGAAAAAGTCCGATTTTGTTTCAAAATACCTATATCAGAACAATTCTTTATATAGATCTAATACATATCCTAAGTCGTCAATTCGAGACATGAAAAATGCAAGTAGAATTTCATCAATCGGCTCAGTAGAATGGGAGATATAGAACTGTCCCACCTCCTTTTTTTTTGCACAGTGTACATATTTAAACACTTTCATACAGTGAAAAGTATATAGAAATCACACATTCAATAGATACAGATTCATATTTTATGATTTTAACAAACTGGTATCAAATCCCTCTCTCTTTGATAAAGCTATTCATAAAGCATAAACTTAAATTTTGCTGTAAAAAAACGGTGCAATAATTCTTATAATCATACTTCAATTTTAATTATACTAAAACAATTCTTAGAATCAGCATTTGATTAAGTGACATATTTACAATGTGGTTGTTGAACATTCAGGTAATTTTGATTTGATAAAATGTTACAAAACACACTGTTCATATTTTTCTCCCTGAAATTTGACAAAAATTTATAAAATGCAACAAAAACACACTCTTGATATTTATGCACAAAAGCATTTTCTTCAGCTTAGCCACTGCATAAGAACATAAAGTAAAGCAACAAAATCATGACAAAAGAGTGATACAGAGACATTCAATGCTCCAAATGCAACAGTATACATTTCAACAATAAAACAAGCATTACAATAGACTAAGGATGCAAACAACAATCAGTGCAAAGCAAGATATCTTTCTAAGGGAAAAGACTAAAGCAGACAAGGAACAAATCATACCTCTCTCAACTTGAATAACTGTTTTGCTCCTTTCGGGGCCTGTATGAGAACCGTCTGAATAGAGAAAGAAAAACAGGAAAGAAAAATGAAGTTGAAAAAAAAAAAAGATAAAGAACTCCAGCAAATAAGAAGCATAAATTTGTATTTAATCATTTGCCATTCAGCTGCAAAAAGGCATGTCAGAGAAAAGGTTTTCGACAGTAAATTTAAAACAATAAATATGAGCATTCTAGCATTTAGAATGAGCAAATATGAAACTGTAATAAAAGAAAAAAAATAAGTTCGTGCATAAAATTTTCAATACAATAAATGTACTAAAAAATACAAAACTTTTACGAGAAATTGCACTGCTAAACACAGTAACTGTTAGCTGCACAATTTGAATGAAACATGAAAACAATACTACAATCTGAAAAACAAAGGACAACATAATAGAAAAGCTGACCTATTATACAAGCACACAACTATATAACAGCCATAACGATTTTAAAAATTTCATCTAAAAAGAAAATTGCTTAAACATTAAAAAGAATTAAACTTCTTCTTGCCTTCCTGTACTTTGTTTCCTTATACAATCACAATAAGAATAAAAATTTCAGGCACATTATCAATAGCAACTGTACTTAATACTTACAAAAGCAGATAACAATAAAACATAAATACAGAAACAAACACATAGCTATTGAATAAAATAAAGACTTCTACATTTTTATAAAATATAGAACTTACTGCAAAAACTTTAGAGAATACACACAATATTTCTAAGAAAGAAATATCTATTTCTTAGGTTAGTGAATTAAACAATGAGATTATGTTACAAAAATGAGCATCTTTGGCTTTCGTAAATGAAGTGAAAGATAACATCAAAAACCTTACTTGAAATTTGTAACACAAAAATAATCAGTATCAAGACACTTAAATTACATTCATTAAACACCACAATGAACTTTTTTGCTTAATGTTGCAAATCAAAATGTAAACACTGAAACTACACAATTGCCATAAATAAAGATTATATTGAAAATCAAAATCTTTGGCTGCAGTACTGTTTATTAGCATCTAAGAGAAAAATAATTGTTTGCAAATTCAGAAAAATTACAGAAAGGAATGAAGATGAATAAAGAAACACCTTTTTGCAAGAAAAATATGAACAGAATAAAAATTGCATGGAATTAGCTTTTCACTGTTTATTATAGAATTTTCTTATACAATGACAAATTTCATATTAAAACAAAAAATTATTAACCTTAATATGATTCATCACTCAAATACAACAACATAAAACATCAAGAATGAGAAAAACAATTTCCTCCCCCACACTCTATGTAATTATCACACAAGTTTAATTATTTCATATACCTCTAACATCATCATCATCTGCTGCATTGCTATCTGTTGATTCTTTTACTTGGGATCCACCATCTGACTTCCTATTTACAGTACCACGACCTTAAAAGAAATTTCTCAAAATAAGATAATCAACAAAATTTATGGTGAATTATTAATACATGCAAAATATCAAATTAAGTAAAGCACAGAAATGCAGACCAAATCAGAAAAACATTCATCTACTTATTGAAAACACATATGTTGATATTCTTATTTGAGACATTCACGTGCAACATGAAGTTAATTTGTCATGATATTTTTTAAAACAGAAAAAAAAAAAAAAAAAAACATTAAATAAGGATGCAAAATATTATTTAAACACACTTAGACAGATTAAAGCAATCAGAAATATTATTCTACAATAAACTAACAAATAAAATGAAAAGTATATGAATTATTTTTTTCTTAAGCTTTATTATAGTACTCAGGACGGAATTCTATATCCTTTTTCCCACAGTAAACGATGCTACATAGAATTTATAATGTATAACTAATAACATGATTAAATTGATATTAAAGAAAGATATTTAAAAAAACCTAACATGTAATATTTATATTTAAATCAGAACTTTAAAATTATAAAAAGAAATCTGTTGCTTCTAAAACAATCAGTGGTACTTAGCTGCAATTTGAGGATTTTTTACAGATATAGTGAAGTTGCTTATCACGTGCATACTGATAACTTTCGCAAAACTTTTTAAAAAGATTACCAAATTATCAATATTTTTAATAAGTGGGCAAACATTATCAACATATTCAAAGACAAAACACTTAAGCAATTTAAAATAAAAATTGTAATTATTAAATAAGGATTAATAAATTCTAACCATACATTAAAAATAAAACATATTTTTTGCAAATTTTTTGTCATTTTTTTCATGCTGTTTTTCTACCCATGTACAACTTTGATCTACTTAAAAAAATATCAGAAAATTTCACAAATTTGCCATTATGCGTAATATGGGCATCACACATTGGCTATCTACCAAATACATCTCCTCATCATTCCCTTTAGCAATTCTGTGGCAAAATACCATATTCCCACAAAAATGCTATCTCAATTTCTTCCACTGCTGGCAAATTCCACAAGCTAATGTTTATTTTAAAACTGAGTTCAGGCCCAAAAAATATCACAGTTTTATTTATAAAAATCAGTGGAATTTGGAAGACAACAAAAAGAAAGCATATAAAAAATGGTGACATTGCTTGACTGCAAAATTGTTATCAGCATAGTTGCCTGAATTTGGCACATTCTGAAAACTTGGTGACTTCTCTTAAGGTGGTTGCTACAATAAGTACCCCATCACTAAATTACTACTATAGATCAATTATTAGCACAATATGTGAAATTCAGATTTTAATATAGTCTACTCTTTTCATTACAGTTTTTCTGCCATCAACTTTATGTCACAGCATGTTTAATTTTATAATTTTCTTCCTGAGAAAGGCAATATGGAAATATGTTCATAGCCAAAACCTTAAACTACATATTTTAAAACAGAAATGATATTTTTCATATTCGCCAACAGTTGATTCATCTAAAAAGACCACATCATCTTAGTCAAATGGATGAAGAATCTGCAACGACTACCAGATTCCAGTTAAAAAAGTGTTGGGTGTTATACTATGTGCAAATGCACTTAAAAAAGAAGAAGGTTCTGTATTTAAACCATTGGAACTAGTCCTGCAAAATTTACAAATATTACGCTGAGTCTTCTTGTTTAATTTCTTCAGTAATCATTATTCGGCATGTTATTTTAACCTATATTATTAGCTGTTTTCAAATATGAATAACTTAATAAACATATAAATATACTTATATTCATAATAAATTTATGAATTCATTGCTTTCAAATTAACAATTCAATGATTATGTGCATGTGCAGTTTGTATGCTTTAAATTCTTGCAGCAGACTTCCATTTTAAAACTAAATTGCAGCATTTTAAGCATTCAGTGATAGCTGCAGTTAAATACAATCAATAAGCTTTCAATGATCTATACAATAATTGGTATGTATGCTTTTGTTGATTTATGCATGCAAAGCAATATTTCAGTAACCTTGCTGTATTTAGAAGCATATATCACAGATAACTAGAGAACCAGATAAAATACCCAGAAGTTTTATACTTAAGTATACAAAAATATTTTTTACCCACTATATTATACATGGTCCATTTAAAGAAAGACCTAATTTTTATTTTATTATTATTATTTTTATATATACAGTTTGATATATAATTACTTCATACAACAAAATGTTAAAATTCCAAGCAATAAATCATGCAAGAACATAGAGAATTGTTGTATATTTAGAAAATTAAGCAATGTTAAGAAATAAGGCATTTATGAAATGTAATAAAGATTAATGTAATTGACTGCTATTTTATTAAAAGCTAATATGCTGAAAGCCTAAAAACAGAGTTTCAGAAGGGAGAATACAAGCAGCAGAAAATTTTAATAATTGCAGTTTTTATTTCTGCAAGAAATAAAGAAAATATGCATGCATTATGCAGCTGCATAAATCTTAGAGATGCTGAAAAATATAATGCAGTTGCAAAACATTGGTATATGTATGCATGTCTGTATACAAAGAGAAAGAGAGAAGCAAGTGAAACAATGTGTTGAACTCACTTCCCACTTCAGTGACGAAGCACAAAAGATGGTCACAGAAATTAGAATGCTGTTAACATAAGTTTGTCAAATGCAAATTGATTTAAAAAGATCTTTTCCAAAACACTCAAAAGATTCATTGATATTCATTAGCAAATGGAAAAATTTAACATGAAACAATCAATTAAATGCATATATATATTACATTATGCTTCCCCTTATAAAGTGATTTATATGTGTCATATAAATAATATTATTTTTTCCAAATCTGATAATATCAAGGCAATCATTTACTTCCAAAGTACATGAAATTACAGAAAACTCCTTTAGAATACTAATAATAGATGAAAATCATTAATTCGTGACTATGTTAATTTGAGTTAAGTATAAAAGAAAATACAGTTACGATGATAAAAAACTTCTCCAACATACCAACCAGCAAATGCTTAAATCATTTAAAACATACTAAGGGGAAAAAATATTTCAAAAATGATAATTTAATCAATAGCTAAAAATACATAAATTGTGTTAAATTATTTACTATTTTGTATACGTGACATAAATAAAATAATGATATTTTTAAAACCATTAATAAATTATCATACCATTGTTTCTGAATGATAAACCTATCGACAGAAAATACTGACATAATTAAATATTATTATTGAAATTCATATTTTTAAATTGCTTTAATTTTATTACATATATATTTACTATAATCTACCTTAAGTCTTAAATTTTATTATTACATACATCAGTACCTCAGAAAGTATCTGCTTTGCTATTATATGAAAAAATTATTTGCATTAGATTTTTAAATTTACAAATATTTGTTGATATAAATTATACATGCCATAATGTAATCCATATTAATTAAAAAAAAATTTAAACTGGAATGATCAGCTAGAAAATTTTAATCTAAACATTTTTAAAAACATACATATTTTATGAAACTTAAAAATTTCCAAAAAGAACAAGTTTTTGAAACAAATTTTAATATTTTTTGCTAATTAGCAAATTTTACATAAAAAAATAAAAGAAGAAAAGATTATACATACACTGTATGAAATTATTTCACATTTGGTCATTGCCATAATATCGCACCAACTTCCATTTTATAAAAATGTTATTCAAAATTACACTTAAGAGATTGTTCTTAATTATTAATATAACTTAAACTAAAAATTACAGCTTCTTTTACATGTAGAGAAAAATAAACTTATGTAATAAAAGCAAAAAGTTAAAACTTACTGGAAAAATTTCTTGTTGCTAACATGGTAGTTAATATGGCACCCTAATAAAAAATAATAGAATTATCTAACATACATTTTGTCAGAATTCTATTCAGCAATATAAAAAATGACATGCATAAAATTCATGGTTAATTATAGCTCCTCCTTTCTTCTGGTAGATTTTCTTTTTTATAACAATTTTATTATCATTAACATATGAAACTTAATTAAGTACCATTTGAATATACACTGCTGGCCATTAAAATTTCAACACAAGGAAGGAATGATCTGACGAACGTCAAAGTCACATGAAAGGAAGAAGGGGTTGGCATATGCAAATAATTAGTATTTCAGAGCATTTAGATGACACAGGAGGGAGGAACAACATCTGTAGCACTGCATAAAAGAAAAATTGTGTAGTGGATTTTTCATTTGGAAAGTGCTTTGTAAGGTTGGAGTTTGCTCATAATATCATGTTATGCCTCTAATAAGAAGAGGAAATGCTACCAGGAAGTTCCAAAATTCAATAGAGGCAGGATCATTGCCAATCAAAAGTGCAAATTATTTTTCTGTGATATCGCCGGTCGCTCTGGTCAACATCCAACCACTGTCATGCCAATATGGAATCAATGAATTGCTGAGGGTCACAATGAACGACATGCAGGATCTCAACGCCCTCCCATGACTAATGCCAGAGAGGAACAACATATTGTGAGGTCAGCCCTGCAAAACCGTACGACCACATCACGAAGCATTAGTCAGGAAATGGGCATGCTTGCAGCAAGCCCAGTATCAGCTCACATGGTGCGTCGACGTTTGCAGCAGCATGGACTATCAGCAGGGTGACCATTGCTTCGGTTTCCCTTGACAATGCAGCATAGAGAGAGACGACGGCTATGATGTGCCAGACGACAAAGCTGGGTACAGGAGTGGCACAATGTCACCTTTTCAAACGAGTCCCGGTTCTATGTGCATATTTTGATGGCCTCATCTGTGTGTGGAGTGTCCGAGGAGACCGCACGTCGCCTGCTTACATTCGATATCGGCATAGGGGTCTGCACCTAGTGTGATGGCTTGGGCAGCCATTGGGTACATGACATGCACATCTCTAGTTCAGACCGACGGTAATTTGAACGCAGATGGGTACATTTCTTACGTGTTACGTCCAATGGTTGTGCCTTATCTTCAACACTCCCAACCACCCTATCACAACAAAATAATGCAACACCACATGTTGCCCGTCGTGTTCTGACCTTCCTAGAAACACAGGGTATTCGATCACTGTTTTGGCCTGCATGGTCTCCAGATCTGTCATCCATTGAAAACATCTGGTCATGGGACGCTGAGAGACTAGCCTGCCACCCCTCTCCAGCTAATAGGGTTGATGAAGTGTGGCAGAGACTTGAAGCAACATGAAATGAGTTGCCCATTTCTGTCATCCAATCCCAGTTTGATTTTATGCCTAATGGGGTAAGGGCGTTTTAGCTGCCAGGGGGTGGCAGCTGTTTCTACTAATTTCGCACCCCTGTAAACCTCCAAAATGCCTACAAATTTAATCATTTTTTCTTCATGCCATATTGTTTACGTGCAATAAATTTCTTTTTTGTATTTGCTTTACTTCATGGTGTTGCAATTTTAATGGCCAGCAGTGTACATCCCATAGATACAATCATACCCCCATATCTGCAGATTCAGTTATCCATAGTTTAAAACAGAGGAAAAGTGTCCTTTGAAGCTTCAAAATGTGCAGGAAGTGATAAGCAAACTACGGCCAAATGTGAAACACAGCCATTGAAACAAGCTAAGCCCTTATTACTCACAATAATCATGATTATGAATAATATAAGAAATGAATGCCCCCTAAAATGGAAAGGGGTGAAAATTGTCCTGTTTGGAACCTCACATGCATTCTCAGATTAAGGTCACTCCTCAGAACTACTGCTTAATTTATCTTTCATCTATGACAGAGATAAAAATGTTAGCAGAGGTCTATGTTTATCAGTAGTTCAAAACATCTGACTATTACTCCTCCTCATATACAGATTTTCTCATTATGTTTCTACCAGCTCTGCTTTTAATAATCTCCCTGTTTTCATTTATGACATTCTATCACAGCTCTCATACTTAGAAAATTTTTGTTTACATTACAATGTCTTTCATGCATAATAGCAGTACTTCTAAACTAAAGAGAAACTCTGAAGATTCATTAGTGAGAAAAAAAAATTTTTTTTTGGAGATCAAATTTTCTGCATTAATATATTAACAATATAGTATATGAAGTGACACAGAGTGCAGTCTTATATTTTACTATGATTTATTAATATTGATAATGTCTTACTGTTCCAAAGTAATTAATTCAACTTCATAATATTTATATATTCTGTTATCTGCAGTACCACATAACCACATTTTGTTCTGGAACAAATTAATTACCCTTGGGAATGGGTATTACTGTATAAAATAAATAAAAATTCAGATCTTTTAAAATATGTTTTCAGGATTTCATAATTTTTAGAAAAATACAATAATTTCTTAGCACGTTTTAATCATTTAAAAAAATCAATTTTTTAATCATTATTTCTCATGCTGCTAAGATAGCTGTTGTTATGCTACTTTAAAGTTTTAATAATGTAATATTTATCAACTTTTAGAGCATTTCCTGTCTTATTAAAAGGATATGAATAAAAGCAATTTACTGAACACACCTTTGCTTGATGCGAAGCAGTGTTCTTTCTATATACAATTATAGTTTCCTTTCTGTATAAAACTCTATCACCAATCAAATCGCACATAGATTAATAAACATGTTATTTCCATAATAAGGGAGACTATCATGATGCCGTTACATGAAGTACAATTATATCCAACTATGAATCTGATTACACTTAAATAGAAAATTATTGTAAAATTTATCTGCCCCCTCCCCTGTTTGCAAGCTAGAATTCAAGCTGACTCCTACTCTTGAAACTTGGATCATATGTAAAGATCAGGTACATAGCTACTGCAACTGACTTCTGTTTGTTATTTATTAGAATTAAGTTTACATGTATAATAAATGTAACTATTTCTCTACTACAGCAAAAAATTTAAATGTATATAACACCAATATCTGATAAAAGTTAGGAAATGATGATACTCACATTCTTCTTCTGAAGAGAGAAGAATTTACATGTGCCTTATGTGCTCAGATATGTGTAGCCATTTTCAAAAAACATGTATACTGAAATGCAAAATGCTAGAGTTTTCTGAGAAAGAGATTTATGAGTTCACATATTATTTTGATAAGATAAATGGTTTACTTCAGTTAACAAGTTGAGACACAAGGGCAAATTGAGACATTAGGAGTAAATGAGGATAAAGACAGCAAAAACCAAAATCTAAAATGATAGTTGGTCAATTTGAATAGTGTCATATGTGATTATGAGACTGCACTGAAATATGTAATCAGTACACAGATTATGATAAAATATAAAGGTAATGGCAAATATGCAGTTTTAAAGTTAATAGTGAAGGTTTTTATTTATTTCTTTACCAACGTTCTATACATCCGAATAAAATGCCTGAACCTTCATTGCCTATGCCTTGCCAGATTAACAAAGAAAAAAAAAAAGCCTTAGTTTTATAAGACTGCATTTAACAAAATAATTTTTTAACAAAATTTTTTAGATATAAAATTTTTTCTGCAAACATCACTTAAATTCAAGACTACCAAATAAATGCATTAATTATCAAAAATTTTTACTGAATAATACTCACTTTTAATTTTCTCCTTGCATTAAATTTCTTTAAGCAGTCAACAGTCTCTTGTCGATGTAGAGTTGAAGCAACTCTTTCTCGTTGCTAAAAAGAAACAAATTATAATTATTCTTATTTTAGAAACAAAAGCTATAATGATTAGAACAAAAATATCCTAAAAATTTACAGAAATACAAAATAGAAAAATACATACACAAATCCAAGGATGTTTCAAGGCCTCAGATGCAGTAATTCTTTTTGATGGATTAACTGTCAACATATTATTAATAAGGTTCTTTGCTTCTGGAGTTACGGTATCCCATTCTGGAGATGGGTACTAATACAGAAAGAAAGCAAAAAATTTAAATAAGGTAGAAATTAGATTAAAATTTAAGTCTTAGGAAAACTCCAGACTTACATCGTAAGCTCCAGCTTTGATTTGTGCATATAGTCTATGTTGATCTTCATCCCAAAATGGAGGATAACCAACTAACAAGATATACAGAATGACACCTGTAAATAATAAATTATTTTAAAATCTCAAAGAATAGACCTTGTAAGTAAGAAAGAGTAAATCAAAACCATACAGTAGAGAGTCAGTCTTATTTGCCATTTGTTTCTAAAGCTCCCATCTTCACATTTCTCCGAATGACTCTTCCTCAAAGACATGTTTCCTGACAGCCTTTATAAGGCTAAGCTTTTCATCGACACAGGGAGATTTTGTATTTAAGTTCCTCTGAGCTACTAAGCAAATTAAAGCAGTCAAAGCAGAGGATGTGCTTTGTATCCAATAGGCGACTCCACTGACCTCACAACATAATAATTCGCAATTTTGAATGCCTTTATTTTTCAGAGTTTATTTTTTAGGTAAGTTGTAATAATAATAATAGTAACAAGTTGTAATAACAATAATAACTACAACAATGGTAATAAAAAGAAATTTAACAGCAGATAGTAACACATTAAAAATGCTAATAAAAATACAAAATATGAAAAACAAATAAAAATGGTAAATGAAAATAATAAAATCAATGAAGCAGGAGAGAAAAGCAATTAATTGTGAAATGTAATACATATATATGTAATAGTTTACTTTTGGAGGGAGATGAAAACAATTCACGTTCTATTCACGGTCAAAAAAACTGCTGCGTAGATGACTGGACATTATGGCATAGTGGATAATTGGATGGAATTTTAGAAGAAGCACGACCAGCTTGATATTTAAACATCATTTATTCTTGAATGTCTTCACACATAATTGTTAGAAGACTAGGGGTACTAAACGTGCCCCTTAATTTCAGATATATATTTTAATTAAAGGTAAATAGCTAGCAGAGGCTAAGCAACATGCTGTCAGCAGGCAGGCAAAGAGGCAAAAGAGAGAGAGAGAGTACACAGTTAGTAGCTATTTATACTAGATAGGTGGAGAAAGCATTCTAAGCTATGATTGGTTAATTTTAGTTTTAGTTAACTTTTTCAAGCAGTATTATATAACATAGAAAGATCTCAAATTTGGGAGAACAGATGAATTTAGGAGAAAGAGCACCAAATTTAGAATAGTTAATTTTGAGGTCAGCAATTATTTTTAAAGCAGCTATCGTATTTTGTTATGTCTTACATATATATGTAAGATAAAAGATATGTAAAACAACTTTATACATAAATAATAGCCTTTTAATTCCTCATTTTTACTCTGGGTATTTCCTCTTCATTCTTAAAAAATTAATAACATTTATGGACTGTGTCATTTCTAAATAAATCTATGCCAGAGCTTGCATAACGCTTATGATGTAGTTAATTCGGAACTTGGAACTGAACTCTCTGAGAACTGAAACTTTCAACGTTCTGAGGCTACTCGTTTTTGAGTTACACAACATATATATATATACGTACAGATGTCCCAAAAAAATCTTTTTTGAATCCAATTTAAATCCATTTTACAATTTGTTCTGGGAAAAACAGTCCTTTATTCTGTCCTTTGACAGATGTCGCTAAAAAATATCATTAAATTGCATTTGATAGTGGTCAAAATTAATATTTTTATTGAAGTATGGTACCTGGAATTTTTCGTGATTACAATACTTTCTTTACTTCGTACAAGGAAGTAAAAATGAATTTCATTTAAACTTATTTGTTTGAATTATTCCAACATGAATAACCAATCCCTCAAGGCAAGTTGAAAATGGCAAAAACTGCAAATTTTGGAATTAAATGGTCTGATAAAATTTTGTCACATAGTAATTTTGTCAAACTCCTTTTATAATTTTATTTTTTCATAACATGTACAGAATTTCCCCAAATATAAGTACAGAATCCGGGAGACAGCATAAAAGTTAAATATCATTATTTGTACAATTTTTTTTTATTTGACATTGTGGTACTGCTGATCGCAATAAAAAAGGGAGGTGCACAACTAGATGTTGTAGCAGTCCCATATACAGAATTTCAATGCTCTACAGCTATTCATTTTTGAATTATACAAGATACATACCTATATACGTACATACACATGTTACAAAATATCCACTCTGAATCCATTATACAATCTAGTTTGGAAAAAGAGTTCTTTATTCTGTCCATATGTACAGACGTCACCCAATAAGATATGATACCCAAAATTTTTCACGATTTCTTTGCATGAGGGAGTAAAAAAGGAGGATGTTATTTATTTTTTTAATTTTATGAAAGTTTTTTTTTTTATAAATATTCTGCAAACTGAATGCTTAAATAGCTATCCAAACTGTGAATCAATTAAAAAAAAATAATACTTCTTCTTACAGAAATACCTTAGAACTAATGCTAACTCACAACATTACTAGTGGCTTTATTTTCAAAAAAATGCATCCTAAAGCTGAAAAAGTTAATTACTGTATATACCCGCGTATAAGTCGAGATATTTTGCACAAAAAAAAAAAAAAAAAAAAAAAAAAAAAAAAAAGACTTCAAAGTGGGGGGTTTGACTTATACGTGGGGCCATAAAAAATTTAAAAAATCGGAAGTTCAAAAATTTCTTTATATAATGCAGTTGTTTTCTTCCTGCGCTCAAATTGGACGACTTATCAAATAAGCCACTTACTTGAAGTAATTTCATGACTTAAATTATGTGACGAACTAATCACAGAGTTTCATACTTTAACTAGAGTACGTTTCGATTAAACCAAAGAATTTTCGGCCCCCGAACAACCGATCAATATCGAGCAATAAAAAAGTTTTGCCAACACACCAAGAAAAGAGAAATGCAGATAGTCATTTTTAAAGATCGTCCGTTGATCATTTTTAAAAGAAAAACTTTACTGAAAAGCGTTGTGTTTCCATCAGGTGTGCTGGTTCGCACCCATGAAAAGAGATGGATGGATGGATGCTGACGGAACAGTCGATTGACTTAAAAATGTGTGGGATAAAAAACCGGGAGCAGCTTTCAAAAAAACCTTCGCTTTTAGTATACGATTTTTTCGTGGACACTTTTCTGAAGAAGTGACAAAACACCTAAAACCGACTGTGGCCGTAATTCCGGGAGGATTAAGATCCGTCATTCAACCCCTAGATGTGTGCCTCAATAAGCCCTTCAAAGTAAATGTTAGAAAATATTGGGCAGAGTGGATTAGTTCTGGTCGACCAACATTTACAAAGGGAGGCAACATTAAAAAGCCCGATATTACATTAATTGCTCAGTGGGTTAAAGATGCTTGGAACAAAATACCCTCTGAAATGATTATAAAATCATTCAAAAAATGTTGTATTAGCAACGAACTAGACGGCACGGAAGATGATGCTGGTTTTGAAAGTGAAAATGACGACGAAGGCTCTAGTAGTGATTGTAACAATACAGAGTTCGAGACTGAAAATATGTATGATGACAAGCCAATGACGACAGAAGAGTTCTATGAAATGTTTGGCGAATCTGACCATGAATCGGACGTTGAAGGATTTTGATTTTGTTTATTTACCAAGGTATTTTTTATTGTATATTTACTTTTTTTCCTCAGATGATTTTGAATAAATGTAGTACTTAAAAAAATATTTTCGAAGTTTCTCGATCGATTTCGGAAGTGGGGGTCAACTTATACGCGGGTTTCTTATTTTCTACAAATTTTTTATGTCGAAGTGGGGGGTCGACTTATACGCGAGTATATACGGTAATCATATTACATTGTAAGACACACAAAGTTGGACTTAATAAGTTAAATAATACACTCTTTTTTGCATAGATATATTTTACTAATAAAGTAATTGAAATTTCCTTTTGCTTAGAATATTTGTTTGAGGAGTAGGTAGCATATTTATTTGAGGAGTAGGTAGTTACTTTTATTCCAAAATTCCTTTATTCTGTATACCTTTAAAGAAGAATTAATATTCCTAAAATACAAAAAATAATTACATAAAAGTTTCAGAGCACAGGTGGCATAACTTGAGCTTTTAACAATTAAAAAAAAGTGCTTTCATTAAAAATATAGCAAAAATAATGAGAAAATTAAGACATTTTAACTGAATTTATATAAAATAATATTTCTATTAAAACATAGGGAAATGCATATTATGGAGAAACAAAATAAAAAGTATAATACTAGTAACAAGTTAAGAGATGTTTAACAGCACAGTAAATATGCCGATTTAGAGTTTTCAACATAACTTAGTAGTAGTTGTCATTTAGGTTGAGATAAAATGGAAGTGGAAAGGGGAAGATACGCTCATATTTTTTTTTTTTTTTAAGGTACCTAATGCTATGAGCTTTGAGAAAGCTAAGTGCAATGGTTTTACAGCATGAATGGTATAAGGAAGAAATATAACTGCATTTAACAGCATCAAATATGCACTTTCTCCTGACAGAAGTCACATTACATTTGACGTTTTCAGAGTGCTTTAAAATTACATTCTAAAAAGTTCCTTTAATGAAAGACATTGTTGCATTTCAGAAATGTCTACTTTACTTGAGTTTATAGAAATCCAAATGAAATAGAACATCAAAATAGAAGATACACATCTTTCGCGGAACAAAAAATTGTTGACGAGCAAATTACAGAATGGTTGGAAGAGGGCATAACAAAGCCTAGCAATTCTAATTATTCGGCGCCTATTGTTTTGTGTAACAAAAAAGATTATGCATAGAATATTGGAAATTAAATAAGAAGATTATTAAAGAAAAATTTCCATTAATTCCGAAAATTCTTGATCGGTTAGAACAATCAAAGGTATTCACGACACTAGATTTGAAAAATGGCTTTTTCCATGTAGACATAGACGAAAATTGCACCAAATATACCGCATTTGTAACACATAATGGTATTTACGAATTTCTTAAAGCTCCTTTTGGTTTATGTATTAGTCCAAATGTTTTTCAAAGGTAATTTTTATTCAGTATTTCGTGACTTGCTAAATGAAGGTGTACTAATTATTTATATGGATGATATAGTCATACCGGCTAATGATGATGAAGTTGAATGTTTAGACAAATTAGAAAGAGTATTCAAAACTGCTTCGGAGTATGGATTACAAATAAATTTCAAAAAGTGCCAATTCTTAAAACGTAAAAATTGAATTTTTGGGACATGTAATTGAAAACGGAACTATTCGACCATCACCTTCCAAAACTGTTGCTGTTCGAAACTTTCCACAACCGCGTAACTGTAAACAACTACAAAGCTTTTTAGGACTAACGGGATATTTTCGTAAATTCATTCCTCATTATGCTAAAATAGCTAAACCTCTTAGTGACTTACTTAGAAAAGGTATTGGTTTTAAGTTCGATTCCGAACAACAGGAAGCTTTTTGCAGATTAAAAGAAATTCTCTCTCAGGCACCTGTTCTACACATATTTAGGCAAGGATATCCATTAGAACTTCATACTGATGCTAGTAGTCAAGGCTTTGGTGCGGTATTACTCCAATTGTCTGATGATGGTAATTATCACCCAATCCAGTATATGAGTAAGAAGACTTCACCGCAGCAAGAGAAACTCTGTAGTTACGAATTAGAAGCCCTTGCAGTAATAGAAGCTCTGAAGAAATTTCGAAACTATTTGTTAGGGACTAAATTCAAAATTGTAACTGATTGTAGTGCTTTTCAGAAAACTTTAGATAAGAAAGATTTAACTCCTAAATTGCAAGATGGGCAATGTTTATTGAAGAATTCGATTACGAAACTTGTACATCGTTCAGGAAGCCAAATGAAACATGCTGATGCTCTAAGTAGAAATGCTTTAATTTTAACATCATACACATCCGATGTAACTGAGAAGATTCGGTTAGCACAAGAAAACAGAATGAAGATGAACATGTGAAATTGATCAAGAATTTAGTTGAGAAAGGTGAAGAAAATGGATTCTTCCTGAGAAATGATATTTTGTACAAATTTGAAAATGGTAAAGATCTGCTAGTAGTGGCAGAGTCCTTACAAAACGAAGTCATACAGAAGGTACATAAAAAAGGTCACTTTGCTGTAGAGAAAACTGTGAATGCCATAGAGCAAGAATTCTATACTCCCAGACTGAAATGCAAAGTTGAAAAAGTAATTGCTAACTGTATAGAATGTATACTGTACAACAAGAAGCAAGGAAAAGCAGAAGGATTTCTTCATCCTGTACCGAAAGAAAACGTTCCCTTGAGTACGTATCATATCGACTTTATTGGACCTCTTCCATCGACGAACAAGAGATACCAACACATTCTAACTGTTGTCGACGCTTTTACGAAATTTACTTGGTTCTATCCAGTGAAATCACCAACTACGCAAGAAGTTATTTCAAAATTGAAGCAACAACAGACTGTATTTGGGAATCCAGCCAGAATCATTTCAGATCGAGGTAGTGCCTTTACATCGAAAGAATTTTCAGCTTATTGTACTGAAGAAGGAATAGAACATGTCAAAATTACTACCGGTATTCCAAGAGGTAAACGGACAATTGAGCGAATCCATAGAATTTTGATTCCTGTTTTGTCAAAATTATCACATGAGGATTTAGCGAAATGGTTTAAATATGTTCCAGATGTCCAAAGAATAATCAACAGTACAACTACGAGAAGTACAAAATATTCACCGTTTGAGCTTCTCATAGGCACGAAAATGAAGAATAAGGAAGATCTAAAGAATTAGTGAGATATTAAATGAAGAATATCTAAAGCAGTTGATGCAAGAACGTGACGAAATGAGAGAAGATGCAAAAAACAACATTTTGAAGACACAAGAAGAGAATCGTAAACAATTTAACAAAAGACAGAAGAAACCGAAACTGTACAAGATTGGCGACTTGGTAGCCATTCAGAGAACTCAGTATGGGACTGGTTTGAAACTACGACCTAAGTTTCATGGACCATATAAAATCATAGCTGTTAAATCAAATGACAGATATGAAGTCGAAAAAGTAGGATGCCATGAAAGACCGAATTTGACATCTACTGCGGCTGACCATATGAAGCCATGGTCAAATTGATTGATGTTTGTATCAGCTCAAATCTAAGGACCTGATACTCTTTTTCTTTTTTTTTTTTAATTCTCTTTGCAGGTACCTCATGATGATAGTGATGTCCACTCAACAGACATCGAGGACGATGCCCTTCAAGATGGCCGAGGCTGTGTAGAGATCATCGACGACCGATGCTGACTTAGAATACCTAGCGAGGTGACATCATCCCAGCTTAGCACAGTGTGGAGCAGTCGAGACCAACGCGAGATAGCGTCCAGACGTGGAGAGGAGCGGAGGCAAGCAGATGGCTTGTAAATCCTCCAAGAGTTGGTGGAAACAGATGGTTTCCTTCGATGTTTAAGTTCCTTGTAGCCAAGCTGATCATATTATCTAAAGCTAATTGTGAATGTTATGAGTGTTCATCATTACATGAATCCTGTGTGAACTGAGTATAACTATCATGACATCACTTGCAATATTAATTTTTACTTAACTTACTTTAACAATGCAATAGATGTGCTCTATCACATGTGTTTTGAAAGCAAATTCTACATTAGTTTTAAATTTTTACCTTGAAATCTTGCCTAAAATCAAATGGCGAACCCTAGGTGTGCCCAGACCGGGCTCACCGATAATTTAGGACAACTGAGAGTCTGTACTCTTAGTTTCTCCGCATCTCATCGGTTAGTTCATTGACAACAATGCTCGTTTCAGCACTCTTTTCCAAGCTCTATTCAATCAGTGTGCCACTTTGGACACACCCACAGAATTAAAACGAGAAGTGCTGTCTTCACAAAATTTTACATGTGTACTCCTCTAGGCCTAATTAGACTGCATACTTTTTTTTTTTTTTTTTATCAAAACTCCGACTTTAAAAGGTAGCGTGCAGGAAAGGGTTAAAAGGTTGAAAACCACTGTTCTAAAGCCCATCACTCAGTATGATTGCTGTTAACATATGCTGGTTATAAGATATTCTTTTGATTAATTTAGTATTTGTAAATAAACAAAAAGAATAAGCTCCAAGATAAGTCAGTTTCAAAAAGTGAATTTTCTTAGAGTACAAAATGCCAGCAGTCTCAAATGGATAGCTGAAATTTGACTATATAATATCTCTGATTTTTGTTTTATAAATTCAAAAAATGCTTCCCAAACATAAATTACTCAGTTTTATGACATGCAACACTTTTCATTAAGCTATAAGAAGGCTCCAAAGTCCATTAGCATATTATTACTGTTAGTCTCTTCTTTTCAGTTGTGATATTAGTACACATTATTTCAGCATCCAACACATTTCATAAATACCAACATGTCTATTTAGCTTGGACATTTTGCATGTTCATTAACGATGGGTGCGTTTGTACAAACTTAGCAAAAATTAAAGGACTTTAACATTTTTGTTAATTTAAATTAACAATAGCAATTTTACCAAAATATGCAATTTTAATTTCCTAAATGCATGAAAATTTCAGATATTTTGTACTCAATGGCATGTAATGAGTAATCTGAAACAAACAATCTAGATATTCTCATCAAAATGCTACATTAAAACAGAAAACATGTCAAAGTAAAACATAAAATTACCAAAGTAACAACTTTGTGTTTGGTATAGGTTTAGTCAAGAACTAAATATCTGGTTAGATTTAGTTAAGTTCAATAAAAACCAAGAAAGCAATTTATACCAATAAGATTAATTCTCAAGCAGGTGTTGGTTATTTAAATAAGTGTAAACTAATGGCACATAGAATACACCACTATTCATAACAGATAAAAACCTATTTACAAAACAAAGTAAAAATGTTAAAATTCTATATAGCATAAACTTCATAGCTTCAGGGTCAAACACTCTAATTAAAAGTTATATTAAGAGCAGGTTATTCTGGGGGCATTAGACACCAGGCATGAAAAAAAACGATAAGTGCGATAATATCAAGCAGCATATTAAATAAATCAATACCTTAAACTACATGAACTACACTTCAAATTTATATAAAAATTTTTAAATCCTTAAAGAAAAATTTAAAAAAAAAAGTTTATTTTTATAAAACAAGAAGTCTAAACAACAGATTGATTGCTTTTTAAGATGTCTTCAACATTTTGAAGCAACTAATACACATCACTGTGTAAGGTATTTCTCCCGCCTTCTTAATGAGCCTTCGTGGTCTAGTGGTCTGCACGCTCAGTGCATAATTGAGAGGTCCGCAGTTCGATTCCTGGTGAAGGTGTTGCTAATTTTTCATCTTGCCTGCTTCCAAACAAATAAGCTAATGTCTCTACAAATATGCCAAATGAGTTCGACATCATTAAAAGCAATCAATTTCAGTACTAAATCATATTTCACTACTTAAAAAATAACATACCACATGCCCATATATCAACTGGTTTTCCATATGGTTCTTTCTTAAGCACTTCAGGTGAAAGGTAACCAGGGGTGCCAGCAAAACCTCAAGGAAAAAAAAAATATTATTTTGTAAATATTATGCTAGAAATGGCAGCTAAAACTGTGTTCTAAAAATGAGCATACAACTACTAAGAGGTCATTCTAGAGAATTAGGCAAAAAGAATTCCGTTGTGCATAATAAATAAGAATAAGTTTAGTGAAATTAATTTGCACACACAGTTTGCTATTGTCTGTCACAAGAACTGACAGACTGATGCTGAGAAAACAATGTCTGATGTGCCTCAATCTATAATGCTTTATTACAAGCTCTAACATAAATTTCTTTTATTAATCTAAAATTTAGCAATAAATTTCTTTTTCAATTCCAAAACTGGCAAAATTCAAAACTGAATTTCGCTAAACTTAAAAATTCAAATTGATATGTATCTCTTGTATCTTTTGTTTATTACAATTTGTTTCTCATATTTTTAATTACAAATGTGAGATGAAATTTATATATTTAGTTTATATCTTTCATTTAAATTTGTCATTATACACAAGTCATTCATAAATTTTTTACATGTTTTAGAAAAATTCACTTTTTTCTTTTTCTTTTTTTTTTTTTTTTCTTTTTTTTTTTTTACGCCATTGGATACAAGCTTTTCTACACCCTAACTGGATCTGGAGAAATTACATTTTCCAGAGACGTATTTTTACTCAATAATTAATCATGCTCCTTAAAATTCTTTTTACATTTTAGAAAACAAATAACTCTTTTGTTACATTCATTAACACTTGACTATACATATTCACATAAAAAACATGACTTACAATTTGAGGAGTTTAATAAAACAACAGGCAATAAAGAAAAATAGAAAAAATTTATTTAAAAGTTTATTCATATTAGTGTATAAACTTACTAAATTTTAAAAACTTAACTTTGAATACTTTATAACATTTGTGATATTAAACAAATAGCTTTGTTTCCAGACAATTCATTAATCCTTTTTATTCTTCTGAGGGAGGGGGAATCTGAAATATAATTACAAATCCAAATTTAACTTCTACATTTTCATATTTGAAACCAATGTACCTGTCTCAAATATTTTACTATGTAATAAGGCTCATAACAATAACTTATTGTTCTCTGTTCTATACTTGTACTTCATGTAAAGTAAGTACTCAAGTAAACATAAAATTCCAATTTGTTTGCTTAGTCAAATGCACGCACGAGAAGGGCTAACTGCTGAAGTAAAGAAACACATTAATGAAAAACCTTTTTAAACGGAATTCGCTCACATTCCAGTTTTGAAAACTGAATCCACAAAACATTCTGATAGCCAGATTCAAACTTGTATTAAACTAGTAATATTTCAGTCCTCTTATGCATTTGGTCAAAAGTAGGCCAAAAAATTTTCAGACTTATTTTTTTTGTAACTAAATAATAACTAAATAAACTAAATAATTAAGGTATAAAACAGTTAATTTCATTATATGAAGACACAGTATTCACTGTCATTTATAACAAAACAATATAAAATATTATACAGAATCCTTTGACAATATAATTTTTACTGTTACTGATGAATTATTGTTGACTAGCTTTCACAGATGTATATTTTAAAAATAGCACTTTTAAATTTTTATATATAAACATTAAAAATTTCATTATCATTATGATTCAGCTAAATCTGTTCCTTTTTACACCTGATATAAATGCATACTGGATAACACATATTTATTAATTTTCACTTCATACAAAGAAGTCACTTTTTTTCTCCAATAATATGTCAAAGCAATGTCTCTTAAAAATTGTTAAAGCAGTTACCATTTTTAAAATAAAGAACTGTTAATAAATTTATGAGCAAAATTTATAATTCTCAATTGTATACCAAATATATTTATACATTTTATACATACCATACCAAGCTTGCTGCTCTCCCTGAACCTCTATCGCCAGGCCGAAGTCAGCAAGCTTGACTGCAGCACCTTTTTCTTTACTTGCTAATAGTAAATTTTCAGGCTTTCAAAAATACAAAAGGAAAATAGCAATATGAAGTAAAACAGAAATTTCAATTACGACTTACAGAACTGAATTTGCTTTAGTATGTTGTTAACACTTAAAATATCAAAAGAATACATGAAAATGAAGAAAATTTCTTAAACTTTTCTCTGATAAAAAAGAAAACAATGCAATTCTACCACACTATTAAGTCCTGCATATTATGCTTTTGAAAACTTATAGCATTTTTGCCATTTATATTTTCATATTTATGATATTGAAGATTTATTTGCCATTTTTATTTATTGTTATGTTTGTTATATTTATACCATAGCTGCCTTCAATACTGGGTCATCCGGAAATTTCTGCGGCTTTTCAAATCAAAGCGCATTTCCTTCTAATTATTTTGTTACTGCAGATAAAGAGTGATCTTGATTGAAGTGGATTTTTAAATATGATCTCTTCTGCTTATGTTGCTTAATTTTTGCTTGTATTGTTGCATATCCCCCTCCCAGTGTTAGTCAGATTACTTATACAGTTTGTGCTACATCTGAACAAATTGCTGTTTTTGATGACACAGGTTGAAGTTTAAGTCTAAAAATTTCAGCTTCAAAGATGATGTCCATTTGGGATTACTATCCAGTGCCCACAAGGCCCTGTACTTCTAGTACCACTGAGAATGGGCTGCATTCAAAAAAACGTTATGCTTCATGCATGATGGGACTACAAAGAAACTGCAAACTAAGAATTGTTGCCATCAAGTAAATTTGAAAAATACTGTTCCTAAATGGTTGTTTTAAGAGCAAAAGTAAGACCAACTGTCGCTAAGAAATGGCCAACTGTTGAGATGTTTTCTTCCAATACCCATGCTCAGTCCGACATTTCAGTGAATGTCAACACAAAAACTTAGTAAGCACAGCTGGAATGTTTTGTGTCACTTCCCATATGTACTAGACCTTGCCCAAAGAACATGTTTCTCTGCTTTGCTCCTTGGGTTTTTCTCTCTTTAGGTCATTTCAAAATTCTCTGAATGGCCTAGAGTTCAGTTCTTCGAAGAGTGTCAAACAGCATTTCGATAACTTCTTTGCAAATAAAAACCTAACAACTTTTTTAGGAAAGGAATTTTCCAGCTATCAGGGAAATGATAAAAAGTTACAAAACAAAACAATGCTTATATGCTTCAATGGAACCTGCTTATATTTTTTGTATTGCTTCATTTGTATTTATCATAAATAAATAAATAAATAAAATAATAATTTTAAAAATGCAGAACTTTCATGTGACCCAATACTATTATTTTATGGTTATCTTTAACACTTGCATTACTGATCACTTTTTCCTTTTATATGTTTATATAAATCTAGCCATATTCCATTACTCATTGATTCATTATCTGTAGCTTCAATTACAATAATTTTAAGAAAAAAATGAAAAAAATGATTCTGAAACTCCCAGATACATGCTTACTGATAAAGACACATTAATACAGTGAGAAATACGGCCAATAAAATTAGCTTAGTACTAGCTTCCCACAATAATCACAATATACAAAAGCATTTCTTTTCAAATGGATGGAAGGGGGGGTCGATTTTCGTCAAAATGGTCAATATTTAGCACTTTGTGCGCTTTCTCAGTTACAGCTTGGTCAGCTTGTCACAGAACCTCTGGTGTTTAGTCCTTAAGCGAACTTAGTACTCATTTTATCGACCCATTAAAGGATGAACGGCTGAGTCAATCTTGTCCAGTCTGGGTATCAAACCCTGGACCTGTGGTGCAGCTGCACAACGTGCTAGCCACTTCGCCACAGGGCAGCGCACAGAACAAATAGTAACTTTATAAAAAATACACTATGACTTTGTAAGTGTAATAAATGAAAAATATAATATCCCTCAAAAATATTAGAACCTAAATGTTTTTTTAATTAATTTAGCACTTTTCTCTTAATTGAGAATGAAATGATTTCATTATGTTTGAGGAGCAAGAGATAAATTGCCAAACAGAACATATGTAAAATTTTTAGATATTTAATACAAAGAAACTGAAATCACATTACTTGAACCAACTGATCTGCAATGCAATGAAGAATTTAAGACAAAATTCAAGGAAAGAAATGTACTAAAATCTTGCAAGAATCTCTAGAAAGTATCTTTTTGAAAATTAAGTTACCCATTAAGTAAGTTTTTTTAAAAATTAAGTTTCAAATATTTATTTGAAAGTATTTATACTTGTAAACAAGCATTTTCATTGATTAAATTAAAATAAATCTCTTTGCATAAATCATCTCGAAGATAAGTAGTACCAAATATTCAAATTCAATGTTCTTACATATCTATTACTGATTACTAAAATAATTAATTAATTTTTATTGCTACTGTGTTTGGCAGAGCTTTAACAGTGATAACTTAATACATTCAGTCCCCAATAAAATTTGCTAAAATAATAAATATTTTTATATATTTATTTATTTATGTTTGGTTTCATAGCTAAAGAACAAAATTCTGTGTGGCCTTTTGAAGTATTGCACACCAATGGCATAAAGCTTGAAATAAATAGCTATTTAAAATAAGTTCTTTGTTAACAAATTATTTTTTATGTACAGAGGAGCTAATTGCACATCTGTATTTTAAAATGGCTTTTGAACCACTGTAAAGATTCATATCTTAAGTATAATTCATTGCTTGCCAAATGAAAAACATATTTCTTACAAGTACTTTTCTGTTACACACCTACCATGCTTTTTAGCGGACTTTTTAATCATAAACAGTTTCTAGTTATAAGAATAATTTATAGATAGAAACTTATCTATTTCATAGCATTATTAAATTATTGCAATAGCATTTATTATTATTATAAGGACTATGTGTGCATGTATTTGGTTTATCTTCGATAGGTACCATTACATTGTGTGTTTTACTTCTTCCACAGGCACAACAAAGCATCACTGGAGCATAATAGAAAAGTGCCCCATTATTTTTTTTATCATTTCTTAAATTATTTTATAAAATTATAAGCATTATTTGTTTTACCTTAATTATATAGTTAACAAAATATTTCTTCTCTTCAGAAAACGCAAGGAATGTCCAGTTTTTCGTATTTTTAAATTTCCTATTTTCCTTCTTATTCCTCTTATTTCTATATATTAAGCATTTCTATGTCTTCATTTAGAAATTGAGATGCTTTGCTTGTTGAACCGTGCGATAATACTGAATTAATACTTCTTAATTTTTTCAATATTGTAAACACACAGATTACGTTCATACATAAACAATACAGGAACAATAAAGGAAATATTGCTTGCAGAATATCAAAAAGGAAATATGAAATGATGGCAAATAAAAAAGATGTGTATACAGTCAAAAGTCGTTAATCCGGACACCCATAGGACCTCAAAGCTAAAAACTTTTCGCATGTGCATAGGCGTTACGCAAATTTACTATGCTATGCGCCAATAATATGTTTTCGCGTGCGCGTTTAATGTATAGGACGGTATAAGCTAAAATTATCTATTATCTATTTCAGTTAATGTTGATGATTGCGTTGTTCCTTAATCTTATCGGATTATGATTTGGCTTATTATTTTTTGCAGACTGTAAGAGCAATTTTATAAAAGTAAGTTGAACCTTCGATTATGTCAATAGATTTCCGATCTCCCAAAGGATCTACAAACGAAAGTATGTTTCGATGTCCATCAAACAAAAGTGGAATGCTGCAAAAAATGGAAAATATCCTTTGTTTATCTAACCGTTCCGAAATCTGTTATCATTTAACGCTGCTCTGCGCGGGGGGGGGGGGAACGTCGCAGCGCGCAATGAACTGGAAGTTAATTGTTGCACTATCGTTATCTTCAGGGAGATGTTTTTTTTATTCCGCTTATAATCCTTACTAAGTAGTATTTCATCTCGATGTACCCATCTTTGATATGATTTAATCAAATTCCTCGTCATATAATATCACAATACAAATCAAATAGTTTTGGTTGCAATTTTTCTAATTTCGATATGAGTCTAATGTATGCTTTACGCATGGAGCGTTGAAAGAAATGTTTAGAAAAGGAAACAAATAAATATTAAGCTTTTTTTTTTTAATTTGATACCTTTAGATCATAATTGCTCTTTTTTCATAAAAATTAGTTCATATTAATTTATATTCTGCATTCCATCTTTCCAGATTTAAACTGATGATCTTATCCGGAAAAACGAAATCAGGAATCGCCGAAGTCCCAGCGATTTGGATTAAAGACTTTTGAATGTACTAAGATAAAGTGAAGTTAAAACTGAATAGTCATTGTTCAATGACTACAATTACAGGAAAATTCTATGTGTGAAAGGAAAAAATTATTCCCATTAAGAGAAAATTTTTCATGGGTAGATTAAAATAATTTTAATTAACCAAATTAAATTTTAAACTGAAATAAAATTTTTAATGAAATATTTAATTAATAAAATAAAAAAAAACGGATTTATTTTCCCCAAAAGATACAAGAACAAAAGTAATAAAAAGATTATCTTTCTGATACAGAATACATTAGGTTCTATATATATTTTATAATAACCAGCGCTTATTAAAATCACTTCTGCTTCAAGCATATTTGAGTTTATTAAGCAGCTGAGTTTAACAAATGGAGATTTGAGTATTGGAAATTACGGTATCAACTTTGAACTTATTCAGTAAGATAGTAACTAACAATTAATCTAATAATTACCACCTAAATTAATAATTAAAAATTAATGCTAAAATTAAACTATTCACGAAACTTAAACTTATTTTTTATTAATTTTTTCATAAAAAAATTCTATAATTACATACTTGATGAAATTCTAAACTTTTACAAAGAACTGCTTTATCCATATTTGTTTTGCATTATTCATAAACAGTCTTTCAAGTATATTTTCAAGTTCATAAAACTCTTGGTAGATCTGATTTCCATATTTGAATTCAAGAGCTCTTAGTGCTTTTCTCAATTCAGTTGAAGTTGACATGTAGTCACTTTCTTCCATGGCATTTTCATTCACAGTTTCAGTTTCTACAACTCTTTTAACATTTATTTATAATATCATTGTCAGTTTTCACATGCTGTCATCAGTTGCAAAGTATTAAAAAAAGACCTCACTTATGTCTAAAATATTAGAATACCTTGCAATACCTCTGCGGCTTTTTCTAAATAAAAAACAAATTTTCTAAAGGAATTTCTGTTTTGGGAGACTGTTTCCCAAGCATTGACTAGAATATGCATAGCCTCTAGCAAAAGATATCAAATTAGTGATCTCCTTTGAAGTGTCTACATGTTCACAAGATTCAATTTTGTTTCCCTTTTTTTCTGAATGACAATTTTTTCCTAATTACATTTGAAAGCTTTCATAATACCTTGGTCTAATGCCAGAAATTGAAGAAGTTGTATTTGCAAGAAGAAACATTAATTTAAAGTTTTTTCAAAATGATATCAGAGGATGTGCAGCACAGTTATCTAATAGTAAAGCTATTTTTTCGTTTCTCAGTTCTATTCTCCATTTCAAAAGGAAATCAGTAAAAATACAGCTTGTCATCCATGAGCTCTTGTTATTTTGGTTAAGGTAAATTCTTAACTCCTTTTAAGCATTAAAATTTTGTATTCTTTCCAATAACCACTGACATCTTTTTAATTGTTGCATCCATGTAGCACATATTAATAATAGCACAGTAACTTGTTCTTTTAATTTCTTAAAACCAGTTGCTGCTTTACATTCAAACATTAATGTGTGTCAAAGTAATGCTGTTTAAAACAGGCCAGTTTCATCTATGTTATAAATTTTGTAAGGCTTGTATTTTACCTGGGTCATTTAACCTTTCTCGGCCAAATGACGATCTGCCCCTTACTTCTCATCATGTAGCTTCTGATGAATAATGTTATTTCTCCCTTTCCATGTTGTGTGGCATCCTTCAGTTGGCACAAAATTTTCTCCTAGCATTTTAGCAAATTCTACAGCTGTGGTGGTCAAAAGAGCTCTAGAAATTGGCTCTAAAGAGCTCTTCACCATTCTAGATAAACGATTTTAATGGCTTTTGACTTTCCATTCCATTTTGTACTTCCTTGACACACTTATATTTTTTACTAGCTCTTTATCAATTTTATTTTTTGTTTAAGTTAATTGTGCAATACTATTTGGGAAATCCTCATTTTAAAATCTACTTCTCTTTGGCTGCATTTATCACACATATCATAATATTTCAGGAATTTATCCTTTTCTTTCAGGCTTAAATTATTTTGTTTAGGCATTTTCAATATGTTATACAAGACATGCAGACAGCAAATAAAAAAGGTTTCTTTCAGTGATTCATTCAAATCCAACATTCCCATTCCTTGCCAGCAGTAAGATCACACCTTTGTCTGTCAAGTCGACCTGTCACTTCATTGCTGTTATAGCATAACCAATGCTTTCTTTTCTTTTTACTTCAGCCTCTAATGATCACTCCCCTTTTCCAATCAAAGACTGATAATGCAATGCAAGGAATCATATCATGATATTTTCTGAGAGCACGCTGCAAACTTAATATGTGTGTGCATGTCCATCCCCCATCAGCTAGTATTCAAGAAAGGAAACCAGAATTCACTTAAGCAAAACCTATTCTTTAATCCTGGGGAAACATTTATTTATAATCAAAGAACTTGTTTCCAAAGATTCCAGGGGACTGCTTTTGTTATTCATAAAATAAAATATTTCGCTGCTTTCAACTCTAGCCTGGAAAGAGATCTGCAAACATTATTTGACAGGAACTAGGGAAGTGTACCCAACACCACACTGGTTGAAATTTCTGCTAAACCCATTTTATTGAAACACTACGTAACTAAAAGATAAATGAATGAACTACAAATAGTTTTTATCAGCCACAAACAATTTATTCTGGATAAGAATAATCAGACTTTCAGCAGTTTCAGTTTTATAACCAAAGGCCATGAGTTTAACAAATGGCAGTGTTTCTATTGATTAGCATTTATTCATTTTGATTCCTGGAAACCTGAATATGATAACTGGCTGAAATCTGAATATGGTAAGTGGGTAAGTTTATTAACCACTGAGCTTAATAAACGATGGGCGCTATATATGAATTTATGTCTCAGGAATAAAAAATGATACCAACTTAAGAGTGAGAGAATATAATAACAGCACAATTTTTTTTGAAGTAGGAAAAATAATATCAATACTGAAAACATATTTCATTATTTTAATATCAGTATTAACATCAGCACTGTTTAAACCTATGATCACATATAATTCAAATGATGCTCAAATCATATCATAATACTACTGTCCAATCACGTATTCCGGATTTATGTAAACATCCGGTTTGGGGCGGAAGGGGATATCTATCGTGATGAGGGGGCTGCAGTAGCGGTTAGATTTAATGGTTTTCCATTTCACGCTCTATCTAAGTGCTGCACAACAGAAAAATTTTTTTGCGCTTTACATTTAAGCTGATGTACAGAAAATAAAATAGAGAATTAAATAAAATGCATAGAACCTAGTTTGGAATTTCAAAGAAAAAAAAAACCATTAAAAGAAATGTAATAGTAAACTATTTGTCTTAATACAATTCATCACGTTTATAAATATTTAATACTTTAATTTAAATAATATTTTATAGATAACAATTAAATTAATATTAATTTAGATAATGATCTTAGTTAATTTTTATATTTTCAAACATTGAATGGAAAACTTTTATCTGTTAAATATTCTTTAAAAATTACATTTATCTAACCAAGATCTATAAATAAATAAAGCAATTTAATGAGAGAGGTGCATAAAAAATTATTTTTTTAAAGATATGCCATACCTTTATCCCCTTTACATTTTTGGCTACGTAACTGGGATGGTCAGTCTTCCTAATTTGATTCATTCACACTTAATCATGTTATCACTAATTTCTTAAAATTGCGCGGAAGGTTTATTTTAGAGCTTTCTGGAACTAGAATTCATCGTAAAATGAAATTGAAAGTAAAAGAAAGTCAGTAACAGGATGTCAACGATTGTAAGAAAAAGCACTAAATGACCCCCGACCTCCGAGAGGAAAAAATACCCGCGCTTTTCCCCCCACACCACGTGATACTTCTTAAACAATTTGACGTAAACTCTGATGGAACACAGCAATAACTTTTATTTTACACTAAAAAAATGGTGACATAAAAACAAGAGAAGAAAAGGTATAAAAACTTATTTTAAAAAAATTATTACATGCTTAGTGTGAGAAAATGCATGCGGCTCGAACCTGCGTTTTAATATTGCCAGTAACCTGTGCATTATTTATCATTCGTTTATTCAATGATGGAGATAATAACAATATCAACTGACCATCTTGGCTCAGCCAAAGGCTCTCGCTAGTGTGTTAGACATATATACCAGCGATTCTAAACTTTGACTAATGCGACCACTAAACAAAAACCAAAAACTTTTACCACACTACAAAGTACTCTACCACCACCAACTTTGAATAAAGCTCAGAGCATTAAATTTGCGAGTGTTAGAGAAAGACCTCAATTAGGACATAGGGGTTTTAATTTTTGAATTTAATAGTTAAAAATACTTTGCTTCTTTGAATACTGCCTATTTTTCTCTTGAGTACCACCAATGCTACGTGTACCACTGGTTGAGAACCCCTGCTATATACTAGCATAAAACAGAAAAAAATGGGTACAATTTATCAATATCATGATAACCATGATCAGGTTATATATTACATAAGCATAAAAATTAATCAAATTCACCCAAGACAACACATTCATTGCATAATATTATTGCACAAATACTTCCTTGCAGATGTAACTCTTCCATCAAAAATCACATAATTAAAAACTTGTACAGTACATTTTATATTTAAATTTTTTGACATTTCTAGAATAAGTTTTCTAAACTTTTGAAAATGCTTCATAAAATAAAATTTCTAATACAGAAGGCTCCACTTAATGTGATCACACTTGCCCATAACTGTTTTAATAATATTATCCGAATGATAAAACTAAACAATAAGGAAACTATTCTTCAAAATAGCAATGGAAGTTAACTAAATTAATAAAAATAGGTATTTTCACAGCATTTTCATAAGGAAAATGCAGAAGTTTGTTTATAAATTGTTCATAATATCTCTTACGCAAAAGGTTCCTTATACTTCTGGAAATAATTTGACTGATGCTTTACTCTGATCTTAATTCGGAGAGAGCATCCCTCACTGGAAGGGAACATGACAATGTAAACTTTAAAATCAGGTAAAAAGGCAACCTTAGTTCAGTGTAGATGTTTTTAGGAAATTTAAGAAGAAGGACCTGCATCTGATTGATTTCAGAATGGATAGAATTATTCAAAAATTCAAAACCTAAGTCAAATTACTTTTTTGTGTGTAATTTTCAATGGCTGAATGAAATCAAAATCAAGCTGTTTGGCAGCTGAGTCTTATTTGGTGACATTTCTCTACAATTTGGCAGTTTTTGTAATTTATTTTGATTTTATTATGTGGCTTTACTTCGGTTTAAAAAACTCATTCTGTAATATTTTGATCCTATTAACAGTAACAGTGATCACAACAAGTGATATATTTTCCATATTTTCATATATAAAAGGGACAGGGACTCAGCAATTCGATAATAAGATCTGAATGATAGCATTAAACACAATCATATTAAGCAGCAACTACTGTAAGCAAAAAATAAAGTTCATACTTTT